GCCTAAACCCTAATATTCATGACAGATATTCTACTGCTGACAGGGCACATGTCCTACCCCTTATATGTTAGCTACACTTGGCTTTATTATATTCATGATGAAACGATTCCAACATACCCCCATGTCATACTCCTAGGATCCCTCCCTTTCTCTTCATGAACAATGAGTAAAACCACTTTACTGCTTCTTGTTGGTACGGATACAACTTGTCATAGACATCCTTTGGGAGGTTGAACCCGTCGCTGACACACACTGTGCCATCATCCACCTCTTCTTCCTCCTCCTCTTCGTCACTAAGCAACAGATAAGCCTGAAAAAATAGCAAAGAAGAACTCATACCTATGTGAAACATACAGGGTTCCTCATGAAGTTTTATTAAGAAAGGAATTTGCAGGTCTCAGTTGGTCACTTAAATGAAGACAGTAAATGAAGCAGCTTCAAGCAGGATAATCTTTTTGATGGTCAGATTTCCAACTCCTCTGACATCCCTTCTACCAAGTTCTAGACAGTTTGTATTGTACAATTTGTAGCCTGGTGTCCAAACCTATTATAGCTGCAGAGTCTCTATCTTGGTCTCTCCTTTATTTGCAGAAAGGACAAAAGAGACTTTGCAAGCCAGGTAAAATAGGTTTCGACACCAGGCTCAAGAGTTTGTGTTCAGACTAAACTTGAGTTTGAGTAAATGACCATCCCTTCTCACCTCTATCTTCTTGATCTTCTTGAGTACTTTGTCTGTAGGGTAGAGTTTCTGTGCCTCCCTGTACTTCTGCAGGGCTTTCTGAAGGTTTCCCTTCTCCTGCTCCTGCTTGGCTCGCATGATCAGCTTGTTGAACAGAGCCTTGGATGAGGCGTCTGGCATGCCCAGACCTGACGACTTGGCACCACCTAATCATTAATCATGCACAGAAGGCAGTTATGATTTTATGAAGCCTGGATGTTTTCAGGGACAATACACAGGCCAGTTCCATTTTATACCCTGACTGAGGGGATCTATGGTAAAATTGTCTTGAGTACATGTGCCAGACCCACAGCACAAGGCTCAAATCCAGACTGGTAAATTTTGAGCCTAGCTACATGTACCTACTAGTAGTGTGCTGTGCGTCTGGCACCCAGGCTAGGTACATGTTGGCCCTGAGCTGAGGAGCTATCGGTTTGTGTTTCTGGCAACAGTCTGGCACCCAGGATAGATTTAATGCATTTTCTGTAGACTTGGCCCCTTTAGAAATTTTCATTTTCAATTAAAAATTTGATCAACAAAGAAACACGTGCAAAACTGATAATTTATAAATGTGTATAAAGAGATATAAGCTCACCGTCATCCAATCTCATCCTGCCCACAGCGTCTGCTGTGCTGCTTATGCTCATCTTTCCTAGACAAGAAGAAAAAGAAAACACTCATCCACCACGAAAAGATTATCTTGGCGGTTGCAAGATGGCTGATGCCTCCACACGTTACACACACACAGGCACACATGCACAAGGAACGTAGAGGCAGTATGGGGTAGCCAGGCCTGCCTCTACGTTCCTTGCTTAGCGTCTGTAAGCCCAACGAATATGGCACAAATCATACGAGGAAAAAATCCTACACACGTGCGCAAAAAAATCTGGCGAGTGCGCGAACTGTCACCGAACCTCCTTGCTAGCTAATTTTTTGCTGTCACCAGCTAGTAGTCAAAATCTCCCGCAAAATATGGTACACAACAACCTTCTTGGCAAATCACGTTACTTATATTTTAGACCATGACTACCTTTTCCCTCCTCTCTGAGCTGGGACGAGAAGGAAATTCTCCACAGACGATCACAAGAGCACCAACGTCCACTCTCCCTCAGAAAAAGGCCTGCTCCGAAATTTCAAAATGGCGCTGTTGTGTCACGTGTTTCTAAATGTTTACATAATTTATGCGGAATCGTAAGTTTGCTTATGCACACATTTGTAACTTATAAAATGACACACTGCGAGTATATTATCACCAATTTCGTACTTATTATGTCAAAGTTGGCTTTTTGACCATACTTTATCCTCCGGAGAATGACATTTTCCAACCTTTGACCTTAATCAGCGTACGCACTTCCGGGTCCTTACAACCAGCATGCAGTACCACTATACTCCGCCATGCAGAAGCGAAATGTAACACTTTGCAAACCATGGAATCAAACAGCGTGCAAACTAGTGGAAATACCATGGTATTGTAATGGTATATAAATATAATATTATCATCGCCCTTATGTCAAACTTCACCCATTTTCATTTTTCAATCGGCGTCTCCGTTGACATATATAAACTTTAATCTGAAAATACATTTTGTTCAGAAAGAAACCGTAACCCAATCAAGTTGAACCTCGCCTTTTGGCACAGCGCTCAAAATTTCATTTTATCGTCTTTTCGACCAAGTCAGTCGCAATTTCGAGAGTTGCAGAAAATTATCAGATGCTGCCGTGTCTTCACACTCCGCCTCAATTTACCGGAATACACAGGAATATACAGAGGATACACAGGAATACACCGGAATACACATGAAGGATGGTGAAATCTGCTGGATTTTTTTTTTTGGTATGATAATGCAGGATATTCTGCATTCAAAAAGGATTACCACGGGCTACATCCCAAGTTGCTATACTTTGCCGTGTTACACCATGTTGACAGATCCATTTAGAAGTGCAGTGCTGGCACAAAGTCAAGAACTATGCCCTGTTGGTCGTACATGCGTAGTGATCCAACGAGTGCGACAGGTCGAAATAGTGAACCATGTACGTGTGACGGTGATATCTTGACAGCGTCTTGCTGTTCCTTTTCAGCTGCTGTATACGCTACGTCAGCTGCTGTATACGCTACGTCGGCATGACAGCCATCATGCTGACGTCGACGTTAGATCGTAGCCGTTGCTGTCTCTTCTTTGTCGTGTTCCTGTCCATATCGGTTGCTGGAAGAACGCTAACTCTTTCCATTTATACCATTGGCACCACTGTTCAGGGCCAGGGTTAGACTTACGATTAAGGTTAGGTTAGGTTAATTAGTCTCCCACGTCACGACCAGCCCCCACCCCACCCCTTGTCTCAGGTATACTGGAAACCCCCAAGTAGTGTCGGAGTAATGTACTAGTATTTGGCAGGATCATGCATTAGCTTGACACCGTCTGAAGCCACGACAACCCCGGAGGACAATGACCTCGCTGGATCACGTGGACGTCAGGTGTGCTCAGTGAACATGATGTAATCTGTTGTAACGTAGCTATTTATTTATTTATTGAAAATGCAACAAGACATTACACTGACTCTCAAGGCAGCAAAGCTGATGTTAGAGAGTCAACACATAAGGACAAAACATATAGGGCACATAATATCAACAGTGTGAAATTACAAAAAAAATGATCATAAGAACCTATATCATTCCAATTAGCCGAGTAAATATATGTACACATCTAAAATAACACATTTGGAGGTCAGAGGTCGATAAAATAAGTCACAGTCAGACTACCTTATATGAGAAAAAAAAAAGGATAGTTTTACTAAATAACAAGGTTAGAAAGGAACAGCTGGAAGTGCCTAGAAACGGTTTGTTGAAGTGATGTAAGTGTGGAAGGAGTGTGCCTTTCGTTTAATGTGATGTCATTGCCCGGGGACCCGTTGAGTAGAACGTAGCTATATAGCTCAGCTCACAGTTTACCTTCGAGGAAATGGAAAATACGTAAGGTAGGGTGTACTTTGATTTTACACACTAGACTCTTATACTCTGGTGTTACCTAGGATCGCACAAAAGACGACTGAGCAGCAGATCCTTTTATTTATACCATTGGCACACAAAGCTGGCACAAAGCCAAGTGATCCAGCGTATGGACTTTGGGACCTGCCAGTCGCAATATTGAATCAAGAACGTCCTTGGTTATGTCATGTGACATGTTTAGAGTTTCTTGACGTTACTGACGACACTCTGCCAGCCACCATGCCCACAGCCATGTTCAGTTTACGTAGCTGTCCCGTCGTCTTGTTCTTGTTCCTGTCAATGTTGACTGCTGGAGAAACAATGGCTCTGTCCATTTCCGGTAAGTGGATGAAAGTTTAGGCAGTTTGATTTTTATAAGGGATTTATGCCTTATCAAGGACATTATGTAGAGAGATTATGTCCTTGGTCTTCCGTTACGTTTGGTGTTAAAAGATTTTCGGTCGGCATAGCTAGCTATGTCGAAATAACATCTGGACAACCAAAACAACGACTCAACAGTAAACAATTGACGACAGAGGATAAAGCAATAGCACAAAAAATGAAGAAATGTGTTTCCCATTAAAGTCGTTGTCACGTTAGGCAATGACGTTCAGCTGTTTATACTTAGCTTACATGGCATACACTATTGAGACTATTGATAGTTCACAGTTCACATGGTTGTCACGGGACCATTTGTAATGGTCATATCAGGTCAATGACCCGCTAGAATCCCCACAAGCTAAAGCTTGTAATAGAAGAGTTTTGTTACTGTTGTTTTGATATGCATGCTTGTGGACAGCACTATGTACTGTAAAAATGATGTGAAACACCTAGTCCACTTCTCCTCAACGTTTGACAGACAAGCCGTGGTGTATATGCTCTTACACAGAATGTCACCGATTAGTTTTCTCAGGTTCAGGAGCGTCCAGCCCAAAACCGCCAATGTGGCCTGATCAGTTTACATCTAAGTTCACCGTCCGAATAGAGAAGTATGGAGACAACTTCAGTAAACCTGGTATCGTGTATTACGACTGGAACATTAAGGTAAGTAACCAAGTTGACTTTTACTTTGTAGATCTGTAACTGTAAGGGCAGTAAACTGTAATGTATAGTATTTTGTGAATGACGTTTGGAAAAACACTAGTATTTCAATATTGACAGCACTTATTACATAAATTTTACACATCATTGTATTTTCATCAGAGGTACGTGCATGTCAAGTTGTGTAATGGCAAACCGGCCCGCTACGTAAAAAATACCTTGAACATAATACCCCAAACTAACAAAGTATGCTATAAAGATATTGCTGAGAATGCATGAATGTGCCGTATTTGTAATGTTCAAAAGGTGCAGGGTTAAATACATGTAGGCTGTCCTGTCTCATCCCTTTTTTTAAAGAACTCGCCCTTCCTTTCTGTGTGCATGTCCGTATTGCCATACTATAAAAACGTACAGAACCTATCATATGATGTTTCAATACACAAGTGACGTTTCCCTCCTTATACATGTAGTATAACGTAGCATACAACATACGTGTAGAGATGTACTATAATTAGTCAGTAGTTCTATTCAACAGTCTGCCAGATATAGTACCCGTTGAATTAGAATTTTGATAGACGTATACTGGCTAGTAATATTATTATCTGCCATACATTGTACCTGTTATAATCGTTGTGCAATAAACTTTGACTTTGACTTATAATTTTACAGACTCTACGCAGTGATTTTATAGACTGGTGTCTGCCTCTCTTTGTCGGGCCGGAACAACATCACAACTACACGTGTTCCTTCTTCATGGCGGACGGTAACATGTACTTTGTGAACCACACCTCGAGCACCTGGGAGAACCACGACTGTTGTCTGTTCGCAGGAGGGCTAGGAACCATCACCCCGGACTGGGTGAAAAACTGCCAGTACAACGGGACGGCCATGCTCAGGGTACGAGTCTGCCTACTACGATCCAAACGATCTTTAAACAGTGATGATGATGGTTACACCATATATCATTCTTTTAGATAGATTATGTTGGATCACGATGCGACGCGTTAACTTAGCATATTCTTACAAAAAAGTTTCCGCCCCACATTCCAATGCTGGAGCAGGAAAGTGTGACATACCTACTTAAACACTTGAATGCAGTTCATACTGCCAATTCTTATGTTATAGCTGGTGTAGGTGTCCAATGAGTTATTCCACAGCCCAACAGCCAATCAGCAAGAAGATTACAAGCTCCCAACCATCTCGAAAGCTGCATGCCTATTGGCTGTTGCTCTGCATTCCTTTCTGATGAGTCGCACACCACTATACATACCACTGAAAAGGCAGCATGATACATCTGAAATCGGATGTTTTCCTAATGATATACCAATTACTGTGTGCCTACGCACCTAAGCCCGTGTGTAACAATAGTAGTGTTGCAGTGTCGCAATATTGTCACATCTACTGTGTACGCACAATGTATGAATTGGTTCCTTTCGTTTGCAGTTGTGAAAACAAACTATTTTCCCAGACTATTCTATTGAATTATCGCTTTGTAGGGGCAGAAAGTTGACGTGTGGTGGTTTCCCGGCACACCAGATCCAGAAAAGCCCTGTTACGGGTACTGGGACAGAGTGGATGATCACACACCCGTACAGTTCTTTGGGCTAGCCTCCATTGGTCCTGCAATTCTAGGTGAGATCTTGTAATGGATTGCTTGTCTGTCAAATAGATGATTGAAAAAAATTGAATGAAGTTTTCACAAACTTAAAAATCCTAGCTCACGGTGACTTTAACGTTGTATTATAAACACTTGTATTTCTGTAGACGGTATGCCCGAAACTGTTCTCTTAGCGAGGACCCTGGCATATCATCTGTCTATTTGCTAAGTTTCTTCTCTTTCAAGCCTGGTTATCTGAATAATGTTTTGTTGGGACCTGTAGCTTGGTAAAAAGTTGCTTAGCAAATTGCACTTGTCAAAAGTTTGTGATAATGTTACATTACTTCATTTTGCTGTGGCATGGAACCTAACATGACTGCAAATTTGTTTGTTCCCCTCAGACTATGACTCGTTCCAAGTCGGCCCACCAAGCGCTGAGATGACTAAACCAGTCGGAGGATGCAGTAAAGAGTGCCATCCTACGGGGCAAGGAGCGAGGCTATTTGACATGCCCTGGCCATCGTGTGGATAGTCATAGAACGAAAACTTTCTTATATCACATCAATATACCAGACACAATTTTGTTGCAAAAAGCATGTGAATAAAAATGGACCACAGTATTTCCAGACTCAGCTGGATTAATTCACGGATCTGGATTTGATGTCGACAGAACGAGTTGTTGCAAACATGATTTTCTTACTACTGTACGCATTTCCTCTTCACAGGTACCGAGAAGCTCCACATAGCAGCAACATATCACATTGTACAGTGGAATTCTATAGCAATGCATTGCATATACGGGTCATGGTCAAACGTGCTACAGATATGCGCACTACCAGACAAATATACGTTTCATAATCTAAAGGTTTGCAAAACAAACAAACAAACAAATCAAGTACCGAAAAGCACAACGCAGTTGCGAAGCATGCATTTATCTTACAAGCTAATATTGACAACGCTTGCCAAAAGCCCAGTATACAACCAATATGGCCAATATATCAGACCAGATAAAAAGTCAACAACCTCTGGACACATATACTTAACAATCTACAAGCAATTCTGCCCATCGGAGATCGCGACAAAGTTTGCTGAAGTTATCACTTTGAAGCTGTCTGTTAGCACCTCTTTGCCTCAAAATTCGTGGCTCGATCATTTTCGTGACTACAAAAACGCATCCACCAGTACGTGTTTTCTACACACTGCGACAGGACACAAAGGTCAGAAAGTTTGCATCGACTTTGTACCATCGACTTATAACGGCCACCCTACATCCAAAAATATCTAGGCGTGTCTCGAATTGTTTAACAGACGGTGGCGTAAACAGAACTGTCCTTGGTCCATTTCGCTGTTGCCTGCTCATACGGCGGAGGGGAACCGTGAGCAGTGCCCAGTCGAACTTCAGCCTGGCCGGGGTGGAAATGTACCGGCTGCACGCCGACGTCGCTCTCCTCTCTGTAAAACACAACACAGAACAGCTTAGAACAAGGTTTACAGTCATTCGTTAGCCATTATAGAAGACTGGTGCATTGAGATGTTGGCGTTATGGATATAGATGGATAAACGTCAACCTAAATAATTGGAAATATATGAGAACAGCTGTCGGAGATCGTTACTGCCATTGATCTGCCCATATGCTGTGAGCGCGCATAAATGCCATTTTTGGGGCGGAATTATTCTTTCCCTCTTAGCAAACAATTCGAACTTAGACAAAACACATTTGCAGTCTACTTACGCTTACCTACTTATATTGCATCAATTCGTTCTAATAAGATGTGAATTTGGTCATTCACAAGTCCTGTACAAAGATTTACGACGGGATGTTTGTGTTGCTAGTCCGCCGGTGAAGGTGGTTAATGTGTAACCAGTACTGTGTGTCACGATGTTTACCAGCCCTTACCTGACGATGATTTCGCTGAAGCCGACCCCGCTCTGCACGGCGTGCGACCCCTCTGCGCCGCTCGTGTCCGTGCACCAGGGCCGGTACTGCCCGCCACGGTCTTCACCAGACCCTCCCGGTGTGGCCGCCTGACCGCTCGTGCTCCCTCGGCCATCGGTAGAACTCCCTCCGCCAGGCGACGCGTCCTCCTGGGCGTGTCCCAGGATAGCAAAGGGCGCTAAAATCCTGACGGTCGATCTAAAACTGTTCTCCTCAGATCCCTCGTTTACTAGAGTGCAATATTTGACGGGAACTCCGTAGCGACGCTGGGCGTAGTCGTAGTGGCCGACTGCCACCATCCACAGCAGCAGGAACAGGAAGCCCAGAGCGAGCAGGATGATGCTCTCCGAGCTGTTGGTCTGCTGCGACCCAGCAAAAGTCATCCCTCCCCACAACACGAGGGCAAACGCCACGGGAAAGAACGCACAGAACACGTAGCGCATCCGTTGCCTGCAGATTGTGCGGTACCAAGGGTTGTCGTCGCCGGCACGCTCGTCCGATCCGGCCGCTCCCTCGCGCGGGTCCGCCATCTTGTTCTCACCTGTAACGGTTACCGTCAAGGTTCACGGAGAGTTCACAAGTGGAAAGTCCACAGATTACGTCAACGACTAAATAATAAAGGCCATGATGGTGCACGTTTTTGATCCATATATATTAGTTACTGCTTAACATCTCGTCAGTGCACATCAGAAACGGAAGCAAATATGCAGAATGTCGTCCGTGGCAAACAGTATCGGTGTGAGCAAAGTCTCTCGCCTATCCGAGTTTCTAAACGGTGTACAGATTATTTGTACACAAGGGTGTGTGTCTGTCCTGATTAAAGATAGGCAAACAAACCCACAGTTCAGAGATGGAGTAAAGCTACTATCAGATATTAAAACTTTCCTCCCCTAGCATCACAAGTTAAGATTTAAAGTAAGAAGTCAGCTTTTCAATCAAGTGTAGTCGTGAGTTATAGTGTTTTTCCGGGACTCCGGGCAAGAATTTGCAATGACATAAAAATTAGTACCATTATCATTATCAAAAGAAAATATTTATTCACACACAGAGCCTTGGCAACTGGAATAAATTTCTATTGGATCGTATTGCTGGGCAACAAGAGATAAAGTAATAATAAGCACCACCAAAGAAGATTAAACAGACGGGCATTTTCTTGTATTTTATTATTGAAATTACCAATCCAGCACTCCATTTTTTATCCGAGTATCTTACAAAATCTCAGTCAGAAGGGAATGGTTGTAGTCGTCAATAATGTAGCACCAGAACTACGCTAACGCTGCAGCTGTAAAAATCCTACTCATCCATTTGGCGCCAATTTCTCAAAATCAATTACATCACTCTTTGAGTGCGCACAAAATAAAAGAATTGTACCAAACCACACAACTAGTGCAGAGCAAAAGTAGCACTATGCTAATCTATGGTAGAAATGCAAGCACATATTTAGATATCAATAGTATAAATGATATTTTTTTTCAAAATCACAAACATATATAGATTAAAAGATGACTGTGAACTGTATATATGGGAATGTGTGGTACAGACACCAACGACTGGTATTAGAAGGCGTTAAACAATCCAATAATCATAGCATGGTTGAGAAGCATGGTTGTACTTCCTTGTCGCTTGCTATTGTTAAATACACATGACCTGAACGTACACAGATATGCAAGGTTACGCACCGCAAATTATTACGGAAACAATAATTGCTTTCAGCTTATACACCATGTTAATATAAGAAGCTATTACATATCTATAATAATCAATATACAACTGAAGATGGTCATCGACGATTAGAGGTGTCTAGCACACCAAAATATACAGGGACAAAAGTATTGGCCCCCGTATCCAAACACAGCCGATCAAATAGGATGAGAAACCTTAATATATACTAGTATTATGAAAAGATATCGACTATGAAATTTGTACATGTTCTAGTACTTATAGTTTAACACTAGCCTGATGCTCGGAGAATGCGATGGTGAAGAAGTTTATGGAAACAGATAACGACTAAAAATGGCGAACTTACGTTTGGATGAATACTCGAAGCCGGACCTCCATCATATAAGCAAACAACTGCATTTCGTATATTTTTTCCGACACCGCATCCAAACGGCGAGCACCTCCGCCATTTTCACCATTATCCGAGGTACGACATGTTGACAGTGTTTGAACTGAGATGATGTTTAGAGCAATTCGACATGCTTAGACATACAGTACAAAGTTCAAACATCACCAACGTGTGTAGTTTAGCACCAATCTGTCAACAAGTGTTGATCTTACAAACAAGTGGTATACACAAGACTTGAGACTAATGTTTTGCAGGTTTATAAGGCACTAAAACAATGCTTATTTAGCCTAAGTATATCGGAACAACAGGTAAATGGTATCAAATTAGTGACATCAACGCCACTAGCGTCTTATTTTTTTCACCTTTTTTTTATCTCGTAAATTGTAAAAAGGTTTCTTAATACAATATTTGCTTTTTTTCTGCTGGTCATTATTCAAGTAACGGAATAACTACCGCACATGCTAATCGGTACCGCATGGTTTTAGGTCGCAGTATTCGTACGTGCCCCTCAGATCGACGTAACACCAGGGTTTGATGTCCTCGTCTGGATTCCTGCAGTAGTTGTGGTCCCCGATGCCCAGTTCGCCCTGGGAGAACTCATTGACGCCGTATTGGAAGACCGACGAGGCTCCCCACGACACACACTCTTCTCCCTGATGGCCATGAAAGAGCATATCACATTGAGCAACATTTAGACCACCAGACAGGTTTGTATGATGATGGACGTCTAACATAAGTTTTTTACAAGTAGGATGAAACACGAGGAGAAAAATGAAGAACGCAAAAGAACATTACCTTTTCTGTGGTGCTTGCCGTGCCGCGGTAGTCGTCACCAGTATCCTTGTAGCAATCCACTTCTGGAATTTCTCTCGTTCCTGAGGAAAACAAGAGATTAGATCACTCCATCATTTCACTTCGACGACATGTGCGAAATGGCGGAGGTGCTCGTCTGGATGAGTGTGAAAGTCTCATGATCCCCTATGTTGACTGATCAGTGTGTTCTATTAAACGTAATCTTGGGTTAAAAAAATGCTAACCAATGGTCTATAAAGCGTTCCGTAACCTGCCACGTTATTGTCCTAATTAAGTGTTGGAACAGTCTACTGAAACGACCGAAAGTATGCTTTGCTAGTGCGTTGTAGCATATCCTAATCTAACAACTAACTGAACGTCGGCTGGCTTCTCCTGGTGTCCTTACCTGGTGCTGTGGGTGTCCTGACCAGGACCGCACTGCTCTGTTCTCCATCGCCGGATTCTGTGTAGGCCAGGACCTGGATCTCATAGTCCGTGTCACTGGACAGACTGCTGATGGTGTAGGCCGTCTGGTCGGCCCCGACCTGTTGGGTAGGCAATACGGTATTATGGTTAGAGTTGTTGACTCAAGCCATTGGGAAATATGGCACTTAATGACCATTTCCTCACTAGATTCAGGCAAAAATGAGTATCAAGCTTCGGTTAGGGACGTCCTCTCGAATGGGACGTCTAAGCCGGAGGCCCCGTGTTTCAGGATAGCCACACCTCGAGCACGTTGAAGATATTTACTGAAAAGAGTAGGGGTCATTCCCTGTGTGAGTGATTCAAAACCTACTAGGCCGATTTTACGTAGCTTGTACTTGCCGAACTGGTGTGTCACTCTTAAAGGCGGTTTACCGGTTATGCAAAACCAACAAACAAACAAACAAACAAACAAACAAACAAACAAACAGACAGACCTCCGCGGACACCGAGCTGTCGTCTCCCGCCCGGCGGTACAGGACGCGGTACCCCTGTATGCTGCTCTGGTCGCCCTCCGGCTGGGACCACTGCACCCGTATGCTCCGGGAGTCCAGCGCGTTGGCACTCACGCCTACTGGTGCAGACGGTAGAGCAACTGCAAGAAGATATACACAAGCGAGAAAAATTATAATTATTAATTTTGAAAGGAAAGTGCTTCTTGTATGTACAAATGACTAGCATCCTAGTGTGTTTTGATTACGCTAAAACGTCAACAGATCATGCATTAAAAAACAACAATTTCAGTGATGTGTGGGGAAAACCTTTCATGAGTAAAGCATCTTTTATATTATTGATGTTTCTTTGCTGAGTCACCTTCTTCTACGGATTCTCGTCGCGGCAGCTGCAGAGCCTCACTCCTCCGCCCGTCCGTTGTCTCTGTGAAGGCCTGTATCCAGATGGTGTACTCCGCGTTAGGGTTCAGTCCCGTCAGGGTGTAGGACAGAACAGACGAGTCGACCTGGGGAAGAAAATAGTTACATTACGTTCTGTCTCTTTTCTCTTTTGCCCATTTGCAAACTGAAAATGGGCCAACGGGTCACAAGTTGTAAGTAAAAGCTATAAAGCTATTTTTCAAAATTGCTGGTCCAGACATATACTTAGCAAAGACGTTTAATATGTTCGTTTAAAAATTAAAATATAGGATATAAATTCAACATGTTGATTTATCCATACACTTGTATGCCGTAAGCTGTTCTCTGTTCACTTGTTTTACTTGCATGTAGGTTTATTTGTATCCATTTGTCTGCAGACATATTTGTAGAGGACCTTACGAAAGTAGCTGTACTTTTGCTGTGCCAATGATGCAATGTATCTTTGAGGTGACCACCTGAGGTGTCGATTAAACTGAGTAACATTCACTACGGACAAACACTAAGATCTCACGTACTCCGTGATTTGACCGATGTGACTTTCTGTAGACAGCACCTTGCTGAGAATAGAATGAAGGAAAAGGTGGATATACAAACCTCAATCTCTCCGATGACGCGGACGCCGACCCGCTGGTACAGGATCCGGTAGCCCTTGACCGGCTCAGAGATGTCGAACCCGCCGGGGATGGGCTCGACCCAGTCCAGCTGTACGGACGTCGGGTTCACGATGCCCATGCGCACGTTACGGGGCGGGCCGGGGGCTTCGTCAGTAGCTGAGGGTCCGAACAAATCAGAACAAATAATTACCATACAGTGCTTCACATCGTACACTAATATGCCATGTTAACTGTCTTTGAAAAGGCACCAACATTCGATTATCTACATTCAAGTGATTTGTATGTACTTCAAAGTCAAAGTTTTATATAAAGAAATCTCTAATCTACAATTTAAGACCATTCATAAACGATATTACATTCAATGGTACCAACTTGGTATACTGTATGTGCTTTTATATTATTATTCGAGCGGTATGATAAAATGTGAAGGACTTTTTCCAAAATTTAAAGAAGATCCAAGCAACTGGGGAGATATTGAAAACTGTCAGACGTCCAATACATTTCGTCAGTGACTAAACTATGGAATCTGTAGTTGAACAGGTATTTTACGTGATAAAGTATTCAGACCTATCTCCTGTGTAGTGATGGATATTCTCTGGCTCCTCCTGCCGACCCCGGCTGAAGAGTACGCCACCACCCACACGTTGTAGGTCGTGCCAGGCTGGAGACCGGTGATGGTCTGTGAGCGAGCGTTCGGTCCGGCTTCTACCGTAGGCATCAGCGAATCTCCCTCAACCTGGCAGTATCCAGAGTAGAGACACGTTTACATAAGACACAAGTGCATTAGTGCGCTGTATATCGACATCACTATTCGTACACGTCAAAATGAATAATTAAGCCGAGAATTTAAAAAAAATGCACTGCACTTCCTACCTGGTAGTGTATTCTGTACCCCGACAGTGCGCCCCCTGACGAAGGAGCCTGCCATTGCACCCGGATGGTCGTGGGATCCTCGGGGAAGACTCGAACACCCAGCGGGACTCCGGGAACTTGAGGATCTGAAGAAATGAACCAAATTTGGTACATTTTTAACAGTAATAAACAGGATCGAAATATATCCACATTTCTTACCACAATCGTTAATGCAATCAGTTGCAATTTTATGTAGATATCATCCTAAATAAAGGCGCAGTCTCATTCAAGCCTTGGATCGATTTTTGTCGTAGGACCAGAACCGATCGGCCGACAACGGGGAGCCTACGAGAAACGCTACCGTCACTGAATTTTAACTTGTAGGGCCTTGTCGGCGGTTGGGTACGCCGTAGCCTGCTTGAAAAGTTTACGACATCAAAATCGTCCGGCATCCTACGACCAATGTGGTCGCACCGTAAGTACAAAATGTCAGGATAAACGTACATTCGCCCCCGGTGTTGACGATGATCTCCTGGCTCTTCAGGCCGTCCACCGCCCCGTTGAAGGCGATCATCCAGATCCGGTACCGCGCGTTGCTTCTAAGACCAGTCAGCAAGTACGACGTCTCCCTGGGGTCACTCACTTCGACTTCCTCAAAGTCTCTGTCACCGATACGCTAAGGAAAAATAGTCGGAAATGATTTTGACAACATTGTATTCAAGTGAATCTAGTACTGTGTCATTCTTCAACGTATTGACATATGAATGACTGAATGAATGACTGAATAAATGAATTAATGAACTAGAAAGGCCAATATTTGCTTTGGAGCAAATACAGCGATGGGTTCACCACATTTTACGACATGGCAGGGAAAGAATGAGAAACACAAGAGAAAACAATGATTTACATTGATATAACTATAATATGAAGTAAAATACAACTACAACAACAGTTGGATAGCTAAAAAAAAAACGTCCATGCCCCGCATTCCAATGCTGGAGCAGGAAAGCTTGAAATACCTACCAAAACACTTGAATACAGACATACTGTCAGTATGGAAATGCTCTGTGCAGGTGTTAATCAAGTTAAATCCCAACAGCCAATCAGCAAGAAATGCTCTGTGCAGGTGGAAATGCTCTGTGCAGGTGTTGATCAAGTTAAATCCCAACAGCCAATCAGCAAGAAGAATAGAGGAAAGCTGCATGCCTATTGGTTGATGCCCTGCATTCCATTGTGATGACTCATGCCCAAACGTGGTAAACAAGGCACACTAACACAGTAATACATTTGCTATAACACAGCCAAAAAACTCAAATAAAACCATTCTAAAAGCCTGTATCACAATAATTTAAAAAACGCCTAGGGGTATTTGCCCACTGTACCTCCATACCAAATTTCAGGACCTTGGGCCCTAAAATAAAGAAGCTGAATCCATTTAAAAAATGGCAGGAGAAGAAGAAGGAGAAGAAACATCAGAAAAAGCAATATGGGTTCACCACCACTTCGTGGTGTGGTGAACCCATAATGAATGAAGACCTCCAAAATCTCAAATTAAAAGGTCGAAAGCAGACAGTGCATCCCTCCTCATACTCGTACCTACTAAAGCCCTAGTCAAATCACGATGATCGTGAGTAGATTTCAGCAGAATGTTGTATTGTGTACAGTAGATTATGAGACAGGGTTAACACAGACAAAGTACAAACAAACCTGGTAGTAGATGCGGTATCCCTGCAGGACTCCGTTGACCACAGTCGGGGGCTGCCAGGAGACCTTGATGGAGGTGTCTCCGTCAGCCTCGCCCGTCAGCTCACCCACGGGGCCTGGCGCTGTGGAACATCGGGACGTCAGAGACATTCTGTTAGTCCATGAACTACACAGCACGTTCCCAAGTCGTTCCCTTTTCACTAGAATGATTACCTGGCACCTGTGCTTAGTTGTTGTTTTGTTGCCGACTTATATACATAGTGAGAGGTACTAAGGTTGTTGAGCAAATAGTCTTAACTTTCTACGCTCAACCTACAAGCTGTTCGTACCGTGACAGTCAGTCACAAACTAGCTTCACTCTATACGTATAACTTCGAATGGATTGTTTGAAAGCCTTTGGCATATATACTTAGTGAACGTACACTGTACTGAAAAGAAAAAAAGATAGAGTAAGGATTTTTTGTAAACCTACTTCCTTCAGACGTGCGCTCTCTCACGGGCATGCTCCTGGCTTCGTCCCCGCCTTCACTGGCGGTGGCCACAATGACGTCATACTCCGTGTAGGGGTTCAGGCCGCGTATTGTGAACGTCGTGTCTGTGGTTGACTGTGGGAAGAACGGATGTTAGAAACAGCATAGGAAGAACGGTTCTCTCGAAAAAAAAGAAAGGCAATTTTAAACCCCACCAGAAGAAGCAACTGGAAGTATTTCATTATTTTGTGTCAAGTGACTGAATAGGAAGCAGCGAATGTGAAATATCTTGCTTTGGGCCAATTTTAGATGATGCATGGAAGAAATATAACATTGATGTTAGTAAACGTAGTAAACTGAATACTCACAAGTCCTACATCCTGGTACTGATCGTCGCCCTCGCTGGCCGGCTTGTGGAGGATGCGGTACCCGGTGATACGTGCAGTTGGTGAAGCAGGCACTGGGTGGCGCCACTCCACCATGATGCTCTGTGAGTCCATGGCAGTCGCTGTGACGTCTTGCGGTGCTAATGCAGCTTTGAATGGAGGAGTTGATCAGAGATCAGATTCGTAAACAAGTTCTGAAGAACAGTCACGCTGATGGTCACTGCCAATTGTCTCATAAAAGAACATGCTTATGGTGTCTACCCTTAAGTATGTAAGGAAATGCTATAAATATATGATGCACATTACATTTATCAACTTATGGTAGTGAATCATAAATACAGAAACATTCAATACTGTCTCAACAGAACACAGCTGTCTAACCGTTCTACTAGCTAACATCCTGGGTGACTTACTCCGTTCAGACGTCCTGACGATGATCTTGTTGCTCCTCTCGCTCTCCCCACCTATGCCGTATGACGTCACCCAGATCTGATAGTCCGTGAACGGCTCAACACCCCGGATGTTGAAGGAGAGATCTCTGGACTCCGTGTCGGTGGACTGTGGATCAGTATCGCCGATTCTCTGTGAGGAAGAAAGTTCATGTCAACTTACAGTTCCTGAAATCTTTTTTTAACTTTAAATATACTTACCTAATGTCATTGTTTTGTTTTAATCATCAATGATCACACGATTGTATGACGATTCGAACTACGATGTGAAATAGTTGTTACGATGTGTAATAGTTGTAATGTTTGATACGGTCAGATTCAAATCAATAACCCAAAGTATTTCCCATACCTGGTAGAAGACTCTGTATCCACGGAGACCTAGGGTGTTAGGAGGCGGTCGCCACTGCACAGAGATTGTCTGGGCATCGATGGCGTACCCAGACAGTCCGGTGGGTGCGGTTGGGCGGGGTGTCAGGGCATCCGGCACGGTAGAACCTACAGAGATAGCACCGGTAGTACGTCAGATCATTCACGTGGGTTGAGACTGAATGTTGGGTTGGGTGGCAATATTTTTTAAAAATAGCAATTGGCAAGCAGTACATGCCTATTTGTTAAAATATATATACATAAAATTATTTCACGCTTTTTTTTCTAAGACGCTTTTAAACTTTTAAAACTAGTTTATATAGTATATACATATAGTATATTCCTGCCAGGAAGATCGTCTGCAGCACTGACCTTCACAAACAGGGCAGCATTCTCCAGCGCGGGTTATGGCGTTCGCGCAGGTGGTGTCGGGACACTCTCTGCGATTGCACACCACATGTCCGTTCTAGCAGATAGGGCACAAAATGAAGAGAAAACTTATACCTTGTAAAAAAAGCAACCAAGGAGATGACGTTTTTCGGTTATTTTTGATTGATCACAAATATCATATTTGTTTCGTGCAATGCACGAGTAACTTTTCGTGCGACAACAATATCGTCCCCGCTTACCGTGCATTGACACGTCAGGCAGTCGTCTTCCGGATCTGCGAACTCCTCTCCGTTCCTGTACTGATGACCGTCCACACTGCAATCTGTTGATAGTAAACATGATACATGCAATGAATTTAACCGGTCGTAAAATGCATCGTGAATTTGTCTTCAGTCTTGAAAATTATGAGTCTTGAGCATAGGCACAAGCGTCTTTGCTATAATGTTTACGATTGATGCACTTGTTGGATTAAAGTCGTATATTACATGTTTGAGGGAGTGTTTTACAAACAAAGAAAGGGACAAAGAAAAGGACAAAAATGTCTTTTACCGTTATGATGAAGCATTATACATATTTCAGTATAGATACTTGCTGGCTGTAATTTTTTGAGAACATTAATCTTCAGCACCAGCCATCATCATCATCATCATAACATATCAAATGTACGAAATTCTTCCCCATGTAAAAACTTTATTTTAAGGACGAAACGAAAGCAGCCTGTCGGTGCCGTACCGTCACACGCCCTGCAGCAGTCTCTGATGACGGGGTAGGGGCAGTTGGCTGCAGGACACGGTCTTCTACGGCAGTTGACGGCGCCGTTCTCACACGTGCACAGCCTGCAGGAGTCCCGGGGGTCATTGAACTGCTGCCCGGCAGAGTAGGTACTTCCCTCGTAGATACAACCTGGGGTCCCGCCTGAGGTCTCTCCTATACAAGACAGGAACTCACTTGAACGGTGACATTTTCTTCGAATCTTGAAAGGATAGGTGATGAATATTGGCAGAATGGAAGAGGATACAAGGAAGAGACTGTTTGGAGCTGCTGCAGACAAGCAACAGACGTTCACTCTAATGTCCAAGTTATGGCTGGCTCTAGACAATTGCATTTACCGTCCTTATTTTCAATATTGGTTACTTAAGTACCTTCGCACTGCGGACAACACTGTCCCGGTTGGGTGACGGCGTTTGGACACTTCAGTGGCGGGCAGGCTGTGGCCATACAGCGTACATGGCCGTTCTGCAAAACAAACCAAAGCACAACGATGTCAAATAATGAGAGCAATGATGGACTACGAAATCAACATAAGCATTGCTTTAAAAACCGTACATTGAAAGCGACTCTCACCATACAACTGCACGTCCGACATGGGTTAGTTGAATGCTGGAACTGGTCTCCATTGTTGTAGTCCTTCCCGTCAAAGTTGCAACCTGTGGAGCAACGTGCCAATATTAACCACAAAGTCTCTTTTGACAAATTGCCTTTAATTTGAAAAGCTATGTAAATGTTCCAAAAACACGCTTGTTGACCACACAATAAGAGAACTGTGATGTTCTAAGTATGTACATCGGTAGTTCTAGCAATATGGAAAAATATTATAGAACATAACACTAAAAGCCCCTGGATGCACGACAGTTGGTTTAAAACACTTAACAAAATATATAACTTGCTCAGCCTCACCGTTGCATGTCTGACAACACTCGTCCCTCCGGGGTTGGGGCAGGTGGCAGGAGGACACTGTTTGGGCTGACAGGACACCTCCCTGCCCAGGCACACACAGTTCATACAGGCCTGGCTGGGGTGGCGGAACCGCTCCTGGTCACGGTACACCCTGTTCTCAACCAGGCAGCCTGACTCCGAGCTCTGGCCTGAAGGAGAGATACACACGTCGGTGAAGGTTGAAAATACAGACAGAACATTGCATAATTATGGGTTCACCACACCACGAAGTGGTGGTGAACCCATATTGCTTTTTCTGATGTTTCTTCTCCTCCTTCTCCTCCTTCTCCTTCTTCTCCTGCCATTTTTTAAATGGATTCAGCTTCTTCATTTTAGGGCCTAAGGTCCTGAAATTTGGTATGGAGGTACAGTGGGCAAATACCCCTAGGCGTTTTTTAAATTTTTGTGATACAGGCTTTTAGAATGGTTTTATTTGAGTTTTTTGGCTGTGTTATAGCAAATGTATTACTGAGTTAGTGTGCAGTGTTACCACATTTGGGCATGAGTCATCACAATGGAATGCAGGGCATCAACCAATAGGCATGCAGCTTTCCTCTATTCTCCTTGCTGATTGGCTGTTGGAATTTAACAGGCTTAACTTAATTAATACCTGCTCAGATCCATTCCATACTGACAGTATGTCTGTATTCAAGTGTTTTGGTAGGTATTTCAAGCTTTCCTGCTCCAGCATTGGAATGCGGGGCATGAACACTTCTTTTTTTCTTGAAAATCAACAGTTTGCATTATGCAATTAAAAATCCTAACCAATAATGTAGGGAATAGCTATCCAACTGTTGTAGTCTTAGTTGTATGTTACTTCATACTATAGTTATATCAATGTAAAGCATTGTTTTCCCTTGTGTTTCTCATTCTTTCCCTGCCATGTCGTAAAATGTGGTGAAGCCATTGCTGTATTTGCTCCAAAGCAAATGTCGGCCTTTCTAGTTCAAAACAAATTCTCTGAAGAGTCTGCTATCCGGTATTTTCATCAGTGACATTGACTCAGGAGAATGATTTACTGACGTTAAAAATAATCAAAATCAGTCGCTTATAAAAGACAGTGGATGCTATCTGAAACGTCTGACTCTTCAGAGGATTTATCCAGTTGCTTGATTTATTTTGTATTACATAATAGATAATATTTTTGAAGACTCTAAAGTATCTACAACATGGAAATTGTTGGAACACTATTATGTCAACGTCTTAACGATCACAAAATACATGTGCAATGTGCAGATATAAAAGTTTTGATTTCGACTGAACAAGTTGTGAGATAACATTGGTACTCACGTTGACTGGACACGAACAGCTGCAGGCTGCCTGACACTCTGGACTTCCCGACCTGCACAGCGCACGTGTACTTCCCTGTATCCTCCGGACGGACGTCCTTGATCGACAGGGACGCCTGGTCTATGAGCGAGACGCGCCCGGCGAAGTCCCCGTACCCTCTGGGCCCGTACACGCTGTGTAAGACTGCGTCAGACTTGCGGTTGTTTCCCTTGGACCAGGTGATGGCGTCCGCTTTGTGTGACGCAGGGGAATACGTGCACGTCAGCGTCACCGTGTCTCCGGGATTGACGTACTGGGCCGTACCAACGTTCACGTCGAATGGAGACCCACCTGTGGTAACAGATGTAACAGTGGCTGAGCTGGGAATGTAATTGTGCGGGTAGCACGGCAGGAGACGGATAGAACTAATCTACAAGCAAATATTCTGTGACAAGATCTGAGGATAGCTTAGGCCGGGTCGAAAACCGTCACAATTTTGTCCCCGAAGATCGAGGCATTTGTCGCCAATAAAACTAGTTTTCCTCTCGCCGCGCGTAACGTTAAATCAAAGCATAAGGGTTATACCTTGGCTGTGTTTGCAGCTAGATCCTTGTTGAACCCTCCCATTGCAGCACGTACTGGACCGTGGGTCATACGGAGAGTTCCCGCAGCACATCATGGGCACGCCTCTCCTCTGCACGAAGGTGGTGCTGCCGCAGGTCCGGCAGATGGAGTCGCGAGTCGGCCCCTCGTGGATGCCGTCCCGGCAGCAGATGTGGGTGGACGGGTTGTAGCTCTGCGGATAGCCGTTCACATCGCACAAACCCACGATGGCCGATTGGTCCAGGGAGGCGAAGTCGGGACCTGCAGAACACGCCAGTAGTTAATAATGATAAACAACCACAACTGTTCTTAGCTGAACATTGTCACAATCTACAATTGCCAGTCTTATTATCATCAATCGATGTACATGCATGTCGTCTGTGTAGTGTCTGACCCATTGCTGCTTGTCATTTGCTTCACTCCTCCGTCGTTAGCCACTTTTAGAGTTTTCTTCTTCACCGCGACATTAATCCTCTAAGTAACCGACGTTCACATGGGGACATTTTTCTATGAACAGATTTAAGGCCAAATGAGAAATGACGACAGAACAAGATCCTTACCGAAGACGTTGGGACATGTCCGCCCTCCCGTAACCACACCGTCACAGCATACTTGAGTTTCAGGGTTGAATCTCACCGCACCGCAGCATCTGGCAGCAACCTAGTCAAGATATGAACGTCGTGCAAGGTAAAACGGTTACCCAGAGATCTGCCTATATAGCTATCTTTTACGATGAATGCTTACTTACATTTGTATCGAGGTCTCCATCACCTCGTTTGAGTGGCCTATGGGTGCTTGATAGCAATGCGGTCGGTAATGAAGGAAAGCACCTGTACGAAAACTTCAGTAGGACATTACGAGTCACCGTTAATGTAAACAATAAGAGTTCTCGACACGGCTTTGTCCTGAATGCCAGGTTCGAGTTACATAATGAGCGTACAGATATATTTTCGCGCTCGCGTACCACGTTGGGTGATTCCACGAAGAACTCGGTTCCACAGACGCGGCAGTTGAGGGTGTCCACGGTGCCGTCGTACAGCTGGTTACCGCAGCAGATCTTCCGGCTGGGGTCGAAGGGCTGGCTGCGGCCGTCCACCTGGCAGTACCCCACCTCCGCCTTCAGACCGATGGACGGACCGATGGCGGCAGTGCTCTGACCAGTAGCTGGGACGAAGACAATAAAGACACGTCGATAAATGTTAAACATTCAGCAATGAGATACATAAGAAAATCGTTAGTCAAGCAATTTAATAGGTTTTGAAAACCTGTCCAGTTGCTTGAGTAACGATTTCCTTCTTGTAAAGACGACAAAGACTACGCCAACATGGAAACTAATAAGGCAGGTACAGGCTGATGGAGGAAAAATGCTAAGTACGGAAAATAGTAGTAGGGATATTCCTAATTGAACACGTAACATGAAGCTTCAGTTATCTTTCTTACCTGTCTCTGTGCATATTATAAAAGGCTAAGTTTGTTGGCGACAAGTTCCAACAATTGTAATCTGAATGAAAAAAAAAACAGCAACTCAAAACAGTTCAAGTGTCAATTTGACTCCGTCACGTTACAAAGTCCGCGGACTATTCCTCTTACCCGCTTGTGGACAGCGTAGCCCCTGGTAGACCACTCCATCACAGCAGCTTTCCGAGTCGGGGTTGAAGGGCTCTCCTGCGCAGCAGCGGTCGGCTGTTACCCCCATGGGCTGCACGAAGATCGTGTTGCCACATCTGGGGCATGTCAAAAGAAGCTTTAAAGTATCATTTCATAAGAGCTACACTGTCTTAAGCACCTGAAATTAAGCTTTCTTAGGCTCATCATAACCAAGCAAGCTAAGAGTACTTGGTGTATCCGATAATACAACGTACTACAGATTTTGTATAAAAAATTTACAGCAGTACATGGATCAGTAACTCTGGGAAAATACTAAAATCATACATAAACTAGCATGAAAGTTAATCTGAGTTGGTAAAATACATGAAGAAAATTTAACGTGTCCACAGCACTTGGGTCATAAAGCTGATGAAGACTGAGCGATTCAGTTGAAAATTTCTGGTGAGTTATTTTCGTTTTTTGAGTTGGAGAACAGTTTAATTTTTCTTCATCAATCATACATATAGCCTAGACACACCACTTTATACACAGGCCCATAGTACAAGTGGTCATCGGCGCTTTTCCGTACCTCATACATATCGAGCTGCTGGTTGGGCCTCTCATGATCTGGTCTCCGCAGCAGATGTGCGTGTTGGGATCGTATCGGAGATCGCCCACCCCGCGGACACGGCACCCTTCCGTCTGCGCCTTGTTCCCCTGCTGGGTGGTGGGGATATTGGGCCCGGGGATGATGTCGGTCGTGCCGGTTGCTGAAGAGGAACGAAATAAGGACGGTAAATACGCATAAACGAATCTAGAGTGCATGCAGCATATAAAAGTTGTTGTACAACAATTGTACACGGTATAAAGTATGACATATATTGCTAATTAGCAATAGATGTCATACTTTATAAAATACCGTACAAAGACTGCATAGTATGGCCATATGGGATGAAAATGTGCTTTTACAAGTCAATGGTCGAATTTCAAGTGTTGGGGCATTTTTTTAAAATATGGTCCTATATATGTGTGTAATGCATGGGTTGTTACTTGTCAATATTGGCTACTTGAACCCTAGAAATCCTGGGGCGGAATGTGATACACTTGTATATAATGAATTACTTAGGATACATATGTCGTTCCTTTACCAACGAAAGAAATGGCAAAATATCCCCATGAAAACTTGACCTTGCCGATATAATTCGCGTTGTTAACTGATCACAACAGACTACACAATATTGAACGGCACGTCCATACCTTCCTCCAGGCCGCTGCTGTAGCACTGCTGCCCGGGCACCACCTGGCCCACACAGCAGACGTGCGTGGTGGGGTTGAAGGGGACCTGCCCGCAGCACCGCTTGGCCGGGTCGATTCCTACCGGCTCCACAAACGGTGTGGTACCGCACTTCCGGCAGTTCACTGTGTCCATCGTGCCCTCGAATATCTGGAAATAGCAACCACAAACATTACACGTCTAAGCATAAACATCAACATCTCAATCAATGGAACGTGGAAATATTTGTTGTTTGCATCAACAACGTAATCTTCTATCTTGTCCACAATTTTATTGTATACGAAAAACTGGATTTTGTTTGGGGACATAATCATGTTTCTTGTTATTGGGTGGTAGATTGACAGATGAAATATTGTTAGCGAATAAACACTGTACCAGTATCTTTCCATGAAGTGATTTACCTGATTCTCACAGCAGATTTGCCGGGTCGGATCGTAGCGTATGTTCACAGCGTTCCCTCCGCCGAGCTGGATCCGACACATCCCCACGTCAGCCTTGGTCCCTCCGAACTGCCCGAAGATCGACTGACCGGGCTGGACTGGCTGGGCTGGCCGGAAAAAGCCGGGGCCGCTGGGGAGGAAGGGCGGCTGGGCTACCCCGGGGTCGATGGAGGTCGGGTCCTGTCCGGACACTGTGATATGATGTTGAAATAAAATCACTTTCAAGCCAAACGCTGTCAAATACGTACATGTCCTATATCATCATACCTAACTCGCGATGCAATCATAAGGCCGTATTTAACTCGTGATTAACAGATATAGAAGGTTTGGAATAAGTTTGCAGGGTTCAACACATTGATCAACAACCGATTTGCAGTTAAACCATTAGGTTCTTCATCGTATCATACAAGTGGACGCAAATTAACTTTTTACATGTTAAACTATTGATTATCGCCAAGTTATATCAACAGTATCATCACACGCATTTAAAGGAAATACTCACCAAATCCAAACTGGCTCCCACCGCCGGAGAGACCGCCGAAACACTCCGTTCCGAAGGGAAGCAGCTGGCCTTGGCAGCAGACCTGTTCGTTAGGGCGGTACTGCTGGATACCACAGCAGCGACTGGCCGGGTCTGTTCCCCTCGGCTCCACGAACGGTTCGCCGCCACACGTTCTGGGGAGGAAAGACCGAGTTTTTAATGGCATAGAGATACAACAATTCGGGCCTGGTGGCATCGTTCTAGCAAGTCACTCCACTCCAATATACAACATGTTTCTCCAACAGCAAGTGGTTAAGAAACACCAACGCTTGGTTGTAACTCAATCAAAATAGTGAGTGGCAATGGGTGCAAAAGAATCGATGGATATCTGTATACATAAAAGAACATGTCATGTAAATGTGGCTTAGCTGATGTACAAGTAATACCGGATACCGGTGACGTTTCACCCCACATACCTGCAGTCTGTCTGTTCTTCGGGTCCGTCGAAGATGCGGTTCTCGCAGCAGATCTGTCTCCTGGGGTCGTACGCCACGTTGATGTTCGCTACCTTACACATGCCGACCTTCGCCTTGGTGCCTCCCAGCTGGTTCACGTCAGCGAATCCGGTCACGGACACGGACCCGGTGGCTGAAACCCATCCAGAACACTTAGTACCTCTCAGCAACTTACTTCTATGCTATGGGAAATTTTTCCTTCCAAGTACTTAGAACGTTTGGTAGTTTTAACAACGCTTCGAGATCCGTTGAGCTCTGTCCTTGGTGCTGAACTTCAATCCGCGGGCTTACATATACAGTACCTCTGTTTTAGGAGCAATTTGGACGCAAGTTTGAACTTAGGTGCAATGAGGAACCGTTTTTTGTATTAGACATCGCCTATCATGAGGCCTGTCCTTGGTGCTGAACTACATCCAACGGCTTCATCATATATAAGATATGAAGTATCCAATGACAACATACCTTCCCGTAAGCCTGCGAAGCAGTCCTGTCCGAAGACGACCTGCCCGCCGTCGCAGCACGTGTGCGTGCTGGGGTTGAACGGGTTCGCGCCGCAGCATCTCTTGTGGGGGTCGATCCCGATGGGCTCCACGAACGGAATACCTGCGCACGTTCTGCGGGGAACAGCGGGTCGGGATCGTCATGAAACATCGACATTTCCTCGCCACCTTAGCTTGTACCTCTTCCATTCTATATGCCATATAATCATTATAACATTCCAGACGGGGAAATATGCAAACGTCTGACAATAACACTTGCTCATAGCCACGCATGCATTCAGCAGCATTTATGTTGCCTCAATTTCTAAAGAACGCGCTCATCTTTCCTGAAAAACTATAACGTTCTTGGGGAAGGTAACAGAGCTTCCTCGCTTATTTTATTTTTCCTCGTTACCTATATTTCACCTAGCCTACCTGCACTGGTGGGTCCTGCGGTTGGCGTTATCGAAGAGTTGGTTCTCGCAGCACAGTTGTCTGTTCTCGTCGTAAGCCACGTTGATGTTGCCGACCTTACACATCCCCACCTCCGCCTTGGTACCGCCCAGACTCACGCTGCCACCCGGCGGCTGGAGGACTCCCACGTTCGGCTGACCAACTGGTGTTCAGTTCAATACACGGACTCAGCGTTACTGATGTTTATCGGGTTATCGTGAAGTATTGTATTGCTGTACACAAGAAAACTGTTACTCAAGCAAATGAGTAACTGTTTTCTTGCTTTCGCATTACATAGATGTATAACTTTCACAGATGCATTGTAATGTTGATGTTTCCATCACAATATTGTATGATATATGGTTGGAATAGATAAAGATGCACAGTGATCAATGTGTCTAATTACATAGATTTTCAGTCATATAATTATATAGGTGATTTTTAACGGCCTTTGACTTAATATTTTAAGTGTGCATAGTTATAGCCCAAATACTCTTTAGTTCAATGAATCTTTGCGAATCAACAGACTATTCATGGGTACAATAAATTCGTGTCTTCGATCCTGTATTTTTCCTGCCCATCTGTCGTAATGAACAACCGAGCCCTCACCAGCCTGGTAGCAGTCCTGCCCGGGGACTACCCGGTCCTCGTCGCAGCAGGTGTGCGTGTTGGGGTTGAAGGGCGCGGCTCCGCAGCACCGCTGGGCAGGGTCTGCGTCGATGATCTCCACGAACGGAATCCCGCCGCACGTCCTAGGAAAAACATGGACGTGTCAGTAAAGATCTCTCCTGGCTGGACACTACAACAGAATGCAATTTTTTTCGGTCTTCTCGGTCTTCCAAGCTTGGCAGAAACAGCAATGGTCGCACAGCTGTTGGCCTTTCGTTGTCATGCTGTATCAAATCAACCAGGCGAGTCGTACTTGATCTGGGATGTATTCTGTTATGGTTGGCGATGTTTACCACGTACAAAACAGTTCTGGGCACTCCAGTGGTACCACCTGTGCTAACAAGTTGACTTGTTTGGATTTCACGTTGACATACAGGACCGCGACCGACCAGCAACTGATCGGCGTCAAAAATTATTGGTCATTGATGAGATCACTGGAAAATCATCATAAGACCGTTGAGTGATCTGTCAAATTTATACGACAGTTTCCACTCTGTGACCCAGACCCCCACTTAACCTACCTGCAGTTGTGCGTGCGTCTGGTGGCCCCGTCGAACAGTTGGTTCTCGCAGCACAGTTGCCTGTTCTCGTCGAACGCCACGTTAATGTTGTTGACCTTGCACATCCCCACTTGAGCCTTGGTACCGCCCAGACGGTTGGCAAGAGGCTGGTTCTGGAAGCTCGCGGTGTCCAGACGGCCAACTGCAGCAGCTGGGCAAACAGAACAGGTCGGAATTAGTTGGATTGCTGCCAATAAGCGTTACTGCGCTAGGGGGCGCTAGCGGTATGTCTACAACATGGTGCTATTGGACCTGACAGCAACCACTTACGATGGCACTTTGAAAATAGGTACAGCGCTTTCTTGGAAAAGTTACTGTGTAAACTTTATCAGTTGACAAATTCTGCCACTAACTTGGGCTCACATTTGGTTCCCTATGAGTTTTATATCTTTATATCTTTTATAGCTTTTACAATATAACCGTTTGCAAAGGTTCTGTGTGAGTGAGGAGGGGCATATTATGTACACACCTGTCCTGCTATGACTCCATAGCTGGACAGGTTATACCATCAGTATTTACTTGTTGTACCTCCCGATCCTGTACCCTTTGCCGTCGCCCACCCGACTTACCAAAGCCCGGACAGGTTTTCCCAGGGTACACCCTGTTGTCGCAGCACACCTTCGTCAGAGGGTTGAAGACCTCGGACCCGCAGCACGCGCTGGATTCTGGGTTGAACGGGGTGTTCCCGCAGCAACGCCGCGCCGTGCCGCTCTTCGGCTCCACGAACGACACGTCACGACATCTGGGCAACAGACGTCAGAACAGTTAGTCATATCTTCTACATCTGGCTACCAGAGGTCACCATACAATACAAACGTACGTACGCTGCACAAGATATGGATGGACCAAGCGTTTCATGATGAACTCAAGTTTGTATCAAGCTGCAGCTGGTTTCAAGTATGAAGTTCCACACAAGAAGAAGCATGTTCTGTACTAAATCTAGCATCTCACCTTCTACAATAAATATCGTCTTCGGCGCCATCAAACAGCTGTTCTCCGCAGCACGTCTCTCTTTTGGGGTCGTAGTTCTGTAGACCGATGCCGCGGACATTGCAGACCTGTTCCGGAAGGAATGACAAGAGGATGCTTCAAGGTTTATTGTGATCACAAGATGGGGTTATTCACAGAAAATCCAATCTACGAAACAATACAGGCAATAACGAAGGCTGAGGAGATCAAATCTAACGTAAGGCGTTCCCCTCTTTTCCGATGATTACTTCCAGTGTCTTGTAGGTTTTTAAACCTTGACCAAAGCCATCAACAGTTTGTTGCATCTAAAAGTCATGTTCATATTCAGACGTGCTCTCAACAGTACACAGAGACAAAACAGCCGTAACGAGATATACGCCTGTTGGAGAACCCTTCCGTTCAGTCGACAGGACTAGACTCAACAACGTTGTGATTTGTCAGAGGTGGTGACACCGACCTGTTGCTGGGAGCTCTCCCCGGTCAGGCTGGGCAGCAGGGCGGTGTCTATGCTGGGATCGGACGACTGTGGACCCGGGTCGGGCAGAGAGCCTGAGGAGGGAAGAACATGGTACTCGTCACTCGCACACACGTGCGAAAACATAAACACCACTAGTTGTTCCTCAACTCTAAGGACACAAAACTATTCGCCCATTGTAAGTTTTCTACTAGAATAGAAATTCCAACAAACGGCCATCTTTTCAGGGTATCTAGATTCAACTGAGATTGCAATCGGTGACCTGATCTACGACATCGAATTCACAACGAACGGAACACTCAGTACCCGTCAGGTACCGTGTCCCTGGAACAGTTTTACAAGCGGCTCAGTGGCCAGACACAACACAACGTGTAGTACATATGTTTTATTGGGAGAGGTACCTTCGCACAATTATATGGAAATGTGCATATAACGTCTATTTTCTCTTCAACAGAGATGGCCAAGGGTTGATATGATATTCATCATTATCACCATCCACTGTTGCGGGCCACTATGTAATTTCTTTCCATACTCCTAACTACTTGGTGTTGCAGACGCAAACATTGCCTAGGCGTATGTCCAGTAACTGTCGTGTTTCGCCCAGTCGTTTTGAGTCGTTCTCTCTCAGTGATTTCCGTTCATGTTACATGGTTCCCAACTCGTTGAAAATCACTTAGCTACACACAGGAATCACCATGTAAAAGTCACAGAACACCCGGAATGCAACCAAATATGATTAGGTCGCAGTTTCCTGATCTCGAACAAAGGTTTGCTTGTCAAAAACCTTTTAGTTGAGGGTACTTCCCTTCACCCGCGTGGGCGTTCGTAGGACAACTGCTGAGGCGAACAAGGCTCCTGCGGGCCGCAACTGTTTAAAACAATCGCGTCTGATCTTGACATTGGCGGAGGTCGTGATGCGATACGTGGTGAAGAGACCAACGGTTACTTCAATAAGCCTGACACGTTTACCTTGGAGCGTAAACAGTACACGGGCAGAGGGGGCACCACAAAAACCAGGCCGATAGAAGGCGGCTGTTGTTGAAACAGAAGGCACATGGAAGCCAAAACTTCACAGGAAACACGTCTTAAAAAGGGCACGTTAAGAAAAATACACAATTCACCATGTTTTATCAACTGTTTGCACAAATGATTAAATGTGTGTGGAAAGCAATAAACAGACTGTAGGCTGAGGACGCCATCCAGCACAGAGCGGTTCACTCATATAAATGACTTTGGTGGAGGAAAGTTTGTTTATGAAACTTTGACCTTTTCGGTACTACGTAAGCCTTAAAGGCCTCTAGAACGTGGTGTACACGTCTTGGGTGACTATCGTGTCAAGGGCAAGGGCAGAAACCTTATACAACACGATACGAATACATCTGTACTTGAGTGGGCTACTGAGAAATGGGTGCACTTAAACGATGTGACGTTTCAGTAGTGTTTTCGACAAACACGACGTCATACGGTTTATAATGATTTCCCGTGCTTTTACGTGGGAAAAAAGAGCCAACAACGTATGTGAAACGTTACCACAAATGAAACGACCTTCTGGTGTACGTAGACCTTCCCTCAGCACCGAAACGATGACTTCCAGCTGGACTTACATTACGAGATGCGCGTAGGAGGACAAAAATATCTTGATGAAAGCGATTCTACGAATTCCATGAAATCCTGGCCATTTAATCAAAATACATAAATCTTGTTTTAACCGAGTTGACGTGAATGAAAAAATACCGTGCGCACGAAAACGTCACCATTACATGAAGCACATTCATTCATTCTTTCCTAGAACTATCTTAGAGTGGAACTCGCTGTCACCAAGTACAGTAGGGGCATTATCATTAGAATGCTTTGAACAATGTTTGGAAATAGATGTTCAAGGGTTAGGTGTAACACGTCGTTCGGTGTAATGCAGCCAGCTGCCGCCGCACCGCGTGCCTGCCAAGCTGGTGTGTTACGAAGAAGGACGGTTATACCGGCTATACAGATACAGATACAAAACATCAGAAATAAACAACAAGAAAATGCAAGGACGGACATCAGGAAAAAGAACGCACATATCCTTTTTGGGGGCAGGGCGATGTCATTAAATACGTAAAGGTTAAGATGACAAGTCACAGGCAGTCACAAATGGCATGTCTCAACATCTACAAGTTCAGACACGACATGTAAGATAAAAACGGACAGCTTGTATAATTTGGCAACCTAATCAACAGTATAAAATCCCAGCAAGCAAAACATCTCACAACACTCGAAACTTGGCAAAAAATCGCCAATGATCTCATCTCACTGACTTCTGAAACGGTCAACAGCTTGAAATCGTAATTACAATATCCCTGATTGCGGACGGGGCTGTTCTGTGTCAACCTAAGTTGTCCACCCTTCCCTGACCTCCAGCGAAACCCCCGAACGTTGCAGTCGCGAACACCCGAGAACCAATCAAGTTCCCGTGCATCAATCATGCTCTAAGTGATGAAAGACACCATCAAATCCTCACGTAAAACAACCGACTGGAAGTCGTCCAAGACATGCCACTGAAAGTTGAGAAGGGTCCTCCTTTTAAGTCAAGTTCCAGTTGCCTGTACTCACAACAACAGCTATACTGCCAACACGGGCTGTCTGTTTAGACACCCGCGCCAAAAAGACAGGCAAAACAGTCAATGAACACTGCAACAGTCTCATTGACCTTCACAACAGGCGATACGCAAGACGACATCTTGGCCAGTTGAAAACAACTTTATTTGTGAGCCTGTAAAAGCACCAAAGCCATCATTGACCTGGTATTTGTAAGGAAACACTTCCCTGGTTTTGAAATACAATAGTGAAACTAACGATGAATGGCGTGCTCTGTGAAAGATTTAATATCAGCTAAAACTGAATTTTCGAGTGGTTCCATATGTTCGATAGTGCAAGCCAGATAGTTGTCAAAGAGTGTGCCAACCAGTTCGACTTTTCTGACACCACCCCGGCAGATGACTTGGTACCATGTTTTCGTGGCCTCTAGCTGCCAAGTGTCACAGGACTCTGTTCTTGCTCACTCGTCAAGCAGGCCATGTGATGAATTGTCAGTCAGTTCACAAACTGTCTACACTTGACAAGAAAGACAAAAAGCACCTTTACGACAAGTAAACTGACTATCCGTCTAGCCACAACACTGACAAGTCCCGATCGACCGTTTTACCGAGCAAACTGTCTGATGAGCCGATCCATGGCAGTTGGTAAAACCTATGACATACCGATGTTAAGGGGTAACATTATCTGGTATCTGCAAGTGTGTTAACGGATGTTGACCTTGCGACATTGGAATGTATGAAACAAACAACACGAATGCCGAGCTCGGCTCGCAGATACTGACTATGGTTGCCAGTGGTCCCATGAGTCTGCTGACCATGGTCATCATCTATGAGAGTCTCAACGTACACCACAAGCTTTGCAGGTTTTCGCACATACAGACGGAGCTAGTATGATGGCATGCATGATAACATGGTGATAACCGAGGCATTTCCGAGATTTTCCTGTCTACATGATTGAACGGATAAGGTTAATATGCTAATCAGGGGGCTCGACATTTCATACCAAGGGTAATCCCTACGCTAACCTCTGACCTATCCAATACCTCGGCTCAGTCCTAGCCTTGTAGTGTATTAGGCCGACAAAGGACAACATTTTCATCAGGAAATCAAACACATCAGCACAAAGGACAATGTTTTTACAACGCTTTACTGTTACAAGAACTTGTGTACAGGAATGTGTTTAGACGACAATAAGCTCTTTGGCTCCAGAAGTATTAGCCTTTGTGTATACCTTGTCCAACGTAAGATACTCTCAGGACATACGGGAATGGTGTCTCCGAATGTTCCTAGTTACATGGTCTACTTGTTACACCTGTTGGGGAATGTTGGCCGAATTTCTCAATGTTCCAATTTTGTATAAGCATTAAATATGCTGAAGCAAAAAGTTGTCGTGGAAACATCAGAAACATTATGTAAGAGGAGTGGAAGTTGATGATGATGATGAATATTAAAATATAAAATCACTCGCTGCCCGAGGGGTGAATTGCTGATTCAGTACAGTACAAGATTGCAATGGGAAACGAGAATACAAGATGGAAGATTGCAGTCTTACCGTCGCACGACTTTCCTTCGCTGACCTTGCCCCTGCAGCAGACCTGGGTGTCGGGGTTCATGGGGGTTTCTCCGCAGCATCTCTTCGGCGTCTCCAACAGCGTGTCCACGAAGAAGTGCGCTCCGCACGTCTTACACACGTTAATGGCCACGTTCCCGGGGTAGAACCTGCAACACGGAAGGGAAAGGAACCAGTTAGAATGTATTGCAATAGAACGACCATATAGAGTAAGCAAGACACTATGCATTGGCAACGATAGTCCATCATCGCCTTGCAGATTGGACAGACGTTGCAATTTACAGCAATTTTGTCGAATTCTTAAGCAGCTATCCATAACATCAATCTAATTAATCATAGAAATGGCGCTATTGTCGAATGTAACGTTATATTTTGCCCCTAAGACACTTTCCTGACCTAAAATATCGTGAGAATGTTGAATAAATCCCGTGAGTAGGCGTGAACAGGCGCACGTAGCAAGGTGAGCAGATTTACCGCAGTAGACAGGCCACCGCGTCACAGGGTCGGCCTAGTAAATACATCCGCTGGCAGGGATCTAACAGTAACGGCAATAACCTCACATGAGCCGGCAACAAGCTCGCCTGAGGCAACGCCAGAATGGCAGCAACGGAAAGAAGCCCTAGCAAGACAGCCATAGCGGTTCCTTGCGATATGTTTGAATATGTCGGGTATGCGTGGTAAAAACGTACGGGCCAATGTGGTTTGATTTTAGTTCTCAGTAAGAACTTGTTCTTGGCGTCCACCATAGAGGTAAGGAACAAGGCAGCCATTATATCTGTGTTTCTTCTAAAAGCAAATCCAACTGTTTTTTGCTAAATTGATACCAGCCATTGGCAATACTTCGCAAGTGGTGGGGAGGGGGCTCAAATACACCAACATGGATGGCAAGGTCTTGAACTGTTGTAACATAATGTTTGGATGGTGTTACGGTCGGCCAAGTGATTCATTGTACAACTAGAGCAGTTGATACTGTTTGGTTTACGACCAAAGGAAATCTGAACGTTCAACAATGACTTAGGATTTGGCAGCTGTCGAACTTAAATCCTTCTCATTGGTTCTCGTCCCAACTTCAGCAGAGTATTTAGTGTCACTTGTGATTAAGGTCGTCAACTCTGTCCTCACACTTGACCCCTAGGAGACGACCTTGACCTTTGTGGTTAAAGCTGTCCAGGTTTAGGCCTTGTGCTGTACCAGACATCTGTTCTTAATAAGAGTTTTATCTAACCCGAGATAAAGTCTACACTTCCCTTGCACAAATTCTTACATACTGACAGGCTTAAAAACCCCACCTACAATTTTATGTATAGACCAGCAAGGGTTTCACTACTGATTTTAGTACGTCTTCACATATATATGTTGGTGCAATAAAGTTCTTCTTCTTCTGTTTTCTTTAAGTACAGTAGTTGTGATTTAAACAGCTCAGATACAGTTATTTTGTGAAATCATTTTCTGCTAATTATATCAGACTTACGCTGCCCATGTCACCGCCCTCTCCCCAACTACATGCACCACCCTCCTTTCGTGCTCTTTGAGCACTCACATTATAATACATGGACATTCCTGCCATTGAGACAGATGTGTATGTATTTACATCCACCGTACCTGAACATGTTTTGTACAAGCACCTGTATCTGTTGTGCGATGTTATGTCTACAGCATACGCCAACACTTTGTCATTAACGCGCGATTAACTCTCCATGTTCTAATTCAAGGACGAAAGGCTTGTTCCCATTCTTTAGGCCCTCTCGGGCGACTGATTCACAATCTTCAGTGGTAGTTAAGACCTTTTTTGATCCCGTTCTTGTCAGAAGGCCTCAGAAGACCACCACCGCAACGGTTTCCGGTCCGGTTGACCTTCGGCCATAATGTGAGGCTTTGGGACCATTTTGAATAGAGTCTAGACATCGTTTAGCACCGTCAGCGGTAAACCAATCTGTTTAGAAAGCACGGTGGCCTGCAGCGAGGACAATGTTTGCAAAATAGTACATTTCATCATCTAGGGCCTGCCGCCAAAAAGACGCCTCCCGGGCATACAAATTCCTTTTGTTTCTCGCTTCATCATGAGGTCGTCAGACGGATCGGTATCACTTCTGTGATGTAACCTTAGCCTCTACCAGGCTTCAGAGACGGCGGGAAAGAGTAGAAAAATCTAGTTTCCGGTTCTGACATGGACATAGACCATGCGGTTTCCTGTCCAAAGCGCTCAAACATGACAATAGAACACGGTTTCTTCTCAAGACCGTGCAAATTCCGCAGAAGACTGAATTCCACCAGTGCCTGCATATTTTCACATTTAGATTTTCCGCAGAAAATCAAACAAGGCCAGGAAAAAATGCTATGTCTTTGTCAGCACTACATGAGCCTTGAGCCTTGGGGGAGATTTCAGATAATGTTACAAATTGTTCCTGTTACGAGGGGTGTTCAAAAAGTTCTCGGCCTCACCTAGAAAATAAAGGTCAAACTCCTATTCTTTGGTATAGCTGTATACTATGACGTCTTACATCACTGCACACAAAAATTCAAATTTTTGTATTCATTAATGAGCACGTGACGCCCCGTGAAAATGGGGTGGGTGAGGGCAAATCACAAAATGGCCACAAAAGAAGCGTGTGCTGTGATCAAGTGTATCGATAAAAAAGAAAGTCTGCTAAGGACATCCATGAAGACATGGTCAAGACACTTGGTGATGACTCTCCTTCTTATTTAAATATAAAGAACGGGGTTACTAGCTACAATCGCGGCAAGGAGAGCACAAAAGATGAACATAGGTCAGGATGCCACAAATCAGCACCACGGACAATCCAGTTGAGGCCATCCATCACATGATAGTGAATGACAGATGTGAGACTGTCCAACATGTAGCAGGTTCTTTGGCCTGTGTTATGACTCAGTTCACAATATTTTGTCGAACATCCTGGGGATGAACAAACTGTCTGCATGGTGGGTGCCTCGAATGTTTTTTGAACATCAGAACTTAAACAGGCTTGACATTTCAAGGAACGAATTCAGTCCAATTCATGCAGTTTCCTCAAAACATTTGTCATTCAAGATGAGCTTTCACCCCGAATCAAAACAACAGAGCAAACAATGGATGAAGAATTTTTCCCGCCCCCCAAAGAAGTTTTAGCGAGTTTCGTCCGTTGACAGGGTTTTTGCCTCTGTTTTCTGGGACAGTAAGGAAGTAATCATGATTGACTACATGCGAAGGGCTTAAAGCATCAATGGGGAGTACTATAAAACAGAATTACGACATTTGAGGGCAACGATCAAAGAGAAAAGGAGAGGAAAGCTCCGAGCTGGCGTGATGAAAATGCACCTGTCCACACAACACAGGGGTCAACGACAGCAGCAAACGAATTTGGGTTTGCAGTCTAACCCCACCCTTCCAATTCACCTGACCTAGCACCCTCGGACTTCTACCTGTTTCCTAAACTCAAGTTCCACTTACGTGGTCAACGTTTTGATGGTAATGATGACGTCATCTATGCGGTATAGGCCTATCTGGGGGGTCCAGATGCAACCTTCTTCCACAAGGGTAAAATAAAGCTGGAACATCACTGGACCAAGTGCATTGCAGTTAGAGAGGACTATATTATAAAATAGTTCAAGAAAAATTTTACTGCCCTGACGTTTTCTAGGTGAGGCCGAGAACTTTTTGAACACCCCTCGTATCTACCCATTAATAACATAACTCTCTACGCTAGATCCTATTGTTTCTTATCTTTCTTACGTGCGAACTAGAAATGTTTTGAAGGCTAACTGCGTGTGTGCCTTATCTATAAGGAAATGATGCAAGAGGGCGTAATGAATATTAAATCCTGGCATGTGTTCCAAAGATCTAGAACGAGTGTTAGCAAGATTGTGGTTTCTACACTCGCATGTGCCAGGTGAGTTTAATAAGTCCTGATATTTGCAAGTCAACTGAACGCGATCCGATGAACACTAACAACAGGAAAGCTATGCTGAAAGTAAAAGGCACCTGCGTGCTCGCGTTCATTATCGTGTGTTCTCCTGATTTTAGGAGAGAAGGCTGATGACGTTACAAGGACGCGACGTGTCAGAGCAAGGCAGCTTGCTCCTTCATATTGCAATATTGGAACATTCCAGGCACGAATCACCCTGTTGGCGAAACTTGAGCTAACTTTCGCCTAGTCAGGATTTCCCAGGGTTTTTTTCACCGATACTGTTTATGTCACGAGTAAAGCTTCGCTCACATACATGGTGCCCTACTAGCCTGTACTAGTAAGCCTGTACCATGCTTCAGAGGAGGATGAAAAGAGTAGAAATTGGCTAAATAGACAGATAACATGCCAGGGGTGTCGGTCCGCAGAAGGAGTACAGTTTGCCGCACCAGGGCATTTCTTTTATAGCGAACCCTGTCTATTTGGCCAATTTCTACTCTTTCCAGCCGCTTCCGAAGCCTGATAGAGGTTATAACAGTGTCTTTGTCTGCGACGATACCGCCGTACGCCGTAGGTTTGAGAAAACCAGATGACCTCGTACAACCTGTCTTCCCGAGTATGCGATAGGCTTAGCTGACAATGAAGGAACAGTTCAGGTACACTAACAACGTTTACACAGGGAAGGGAGCGTGTACCGTTCACTTCACAGGTGGCTTGACACATTTCACGCCAGAATCGGGTAGCGCAGAACAAACGGATCATGACGAAACGTCTAGGAGGACCTGCAAAGGGGGGGGGGGTGATTACGAATAACGCAAAATTTTAGCCGCCGATTACGAATTACGTCAAAGTCTCTGAGCTGATTACGACTTTACGCTTTGCGACGACTTATGTAATATTACGAGTTAATTGATTTTGGGGGTGGTTGCTTTTATATATAGCTACGGATTACGAAGATTTAAAAAAGGCTCGATTACGCATTACGAAAAAGGGCATGCAGGCCCCCGTCTAGCAGCCCTGTCTGGAGCGGTGTACGTCATGTCTGGTCGCCGACAGGAAACCAGCGGTGTCCGTGTTCTCAAACATTTTTCTCTCAACCGGAAACCGCGGATTACGGAAATTTCCGACGCCCCGAGTCGTTAGTTGTGTACATACAGATAAAATTCTTCAACGTCACGTCAAATAAATCATCCAGGTACCGCAGAGCAGAAATCACGCGACGTTTCCTTTTTCTACACGCCACTTGTCTCTAGCCACGCAATGTGATCCTCGTCTTGCCCTGATGTTTAAGTGTGTTTTACGTCTATTTATACCTGAGCGGTATCAACCAGGGGTGTTCTTTACATTTGTTACGGGGAAGTATAATTACTTCTCCATGTGTTTACTACTATATGCAACGTCCCGTAAGCGGACACAATAGCCGACAAATAAAGTCGTCTGACCTTCGTTGGTTCCCTAGAATGTGAAAAATGTCTGCAAAAACATTTCAATTTTTGTCTCCACAACGTTTTTAGTGCTTTTTTCCCGAGAACAAGAATGTATTTCTTAATAGGGGGTCTACCGGCGCTCGTTTGTAGCTGCCAAGTATTGATCAGACATGTGACACACCCTATAATTACAGGTGATCCCGGTTGACTTCTGTGTCCGGTCCGGACGCTGCGGCCACCATGACACCTGCAACGCCTCACCCAGGTAGACGGAGCGGAAACCGACTAACATTCCACGTGCCTTTCAGTAAATCTGTACATGACATGCGGTTTGGGATTGACCTAACTACAGGCCCAGATAGAAACTTCGAGAAGAGCCTTATAAATCGCCCAATAAATACGGCGACAAAAAACAGCCTGCCGGTAAACGTTTTGATAGATTTAGCCCTGTTACCAGATACTAATCATACAGCCTATACTAATTGTGAAGAAGCTGACCTGTTTTGCGGTATGCATGTGTAATAACTGTGATTTTAGCTACAAACAGGCGCGTTATGTCCTGAATTGAATTGTGTATACTGTAGTTATCACATTTTAACAGTCAAACTTTTCATCGTCATTCTTCTTCTATACGTTATAGTGTATTGTGTCGGTCATGATAGCAGTAGATTTGTCACATACCATCACCTTTCTCACTCGCCATTATCCCATTTGTTGTTTCTATGTACTCATGCCCTTCGCTTCTAAAAATAACCCGGGGAAAGGAATTTCCTGGGTTGACTTATCGGCACCAATCGAGCCTGGTGTCCCGTACCAACAGGTGTTTTCCAAGGAAAGAGTAGACAGGTAAACTATGTGCCTGAGTCTGCATTGTGGTAGAATAACCAGTGCCCAGTCGCCAAAGCTTCGGCATTTCCCACGGCTTGGTTTAATGGTGCATTATACTTATGAAAAACAATGAAGAGCAGCTAGAATTGTACATGCGCCAAGCATTGACGGATATTTCTGTGGTTTAAAGAGGAAAATGGTGTGGGGCCGTTCATCAAAATGGAAGAAATCTTTTTTCAACTCGTACGCGTCCGGTGTTTGAATTTTACTAATTACATTGAGCTACAGGGGCATGGGTCGCCGTCATTAATTAGGACCTGTTTAGGGGACAACTTGGTGACCCTGTCCTGAAGAACACCGGGGCTGTTTCGTGTCGTTTATAGAACGGTATCCGCTGGGAAGTGTGTGTGGCACAATGGGTGGTGAGAGAAGGGCGGCGCCTGACCTGTTTCCACAGCAGATCTGAGTGGCTGACTGCCGCCCGCCCGTGTTGACGCTACAGCCGCCCGTCCCTGCCTCCTCGCCCTCCGGCTTGAAGGCCGGCTCCTTGGCGGGCTCGGAACCCTGCCGGTCCGCGCTGTACGCGCCCGGGTCCTCACCCTGCTTCGTCTGCTCGGCCAGGTCTGCGGGAGGAAAATGGATGCCAATTAATCCATCCATCCATCAATCAATCAATCAATAGATAAATTAGTTAACATACAACCAACCACTGGTGACCAACTAAACCAAGCCTTAGATTTCGATATATGATAATTACAGGATCGTAATGCACGGTGGATCGTGTGTTGTATTAGTTTGGATGATCAGTCGCCATTTTGGATGCATCCGTCCCACCAACATGGCGTCCCTATGGTATAATAAGTAATGACATTGTCGATGTACTCTGTGTGCTGTTTACCTAGATTAATAGTAGAAGTTTATTGCAAATTGTGCAATGTGAATACGACAACGAAGAAACAACGTCAAAATGAAATACAAGAGGTAGCTGAAGAACGCCTTGATCAAATGAATGAGTGAATGAATGAATGTATGAATGAATGAATGAATGAATGAAGCTTCATTAATGTATAGCGCGCAATAAGCCGTGTACCTTCATTATAGCCTTTGTGTCACCGTTGTTTTAGTCTTTTACAGTCAAACTCTTGAGATGATATATAGCACAAGACCCGGGCGAGGTGAACAGCACTGATTTAGGCTATTATAACATCCGTAATTGCTGCGTATATGCCAGTAAGGCAGTCTTATCTCCACTATAAAAGAATGTAAATAAGCTGGGCACGATAGGAAAATAAATCATGTTCCCCAGATGGCTGAAGCGTGTACTTATTATAGATAGCCTAGTCGTGCCAATAAATGGGGGCCCCCAAGCCCTTTTCCGTAGAGCGTAATCGGCCGTTTTAATTCTACGTAGAGCGTAGACGGACCCTCTAATTCAACGTAGAGCGTAATTGGCGCATTTGGCGTAGAGCGTAATTCGCTGTTTTAATTCTACGTAATGCGTTGTAGCTATCGGGAATTAACCGTAAAGCGTAATCGATTAATTGTGCGTAGAGCGTAATACAAGCCGCAAACGGGAACTCGAGGCCTCGCAAGTGCTGGGTTGTCGTGGCGCTCGAGGTCTTTCTTGCTCTACCCCCCTCTATACAATCGAACAATCCACTAGACTTGTTCCCAGAGCCATACACAAGAACAAGGCAACACATGGAAATGATCCCACAGTGCGCTGGGTACGAGATTGACCTTACCATCGGTGACGTACAGGAGGACCATTGGCCAAACGCCACAGATACGCCACTTGTAAGGCCCAATAGGAGCCCTCAAGACGTTTCTTAGCGGGAACATCATTGCTGATCAATGGCCAGGGTAATGGAGGACACTCCCGAAAAGAGCAATGTCATCCCCGTCATTGTGCGGGTGATGGGTAACGCGGGACCGTCAGCAATCGGCAGCTGAGTCGTTTTGACAAATTACGCTGTATTGTTTGCGGCCTTTTCTACCTTCGGACGACAACCCCACAAGGCTCAAAGGTCCACTTTTTGGTCCACTTTTTATCTAAAGGTCCAAGACTTTTCTTTAAAAGACGGACTGATTCGTGTCACCAGCAAGGCTGGAATCCGTCGTAGGAAAACGGCTCACTTTGTCATTGAAAAAGTTATCTCTGATTTTTTCTTTGAAACCCTCTGAAAACGCAGGAAATGCCATTTCAGAAGGTTCATTTTTCAAAATTTCCCGGGGGAGCATGCCCCCGGACCCCCTAGGAAACGCGCGCCTTCGGCGCTCGCCTCGCACCTACGGCGCTCGTTGGTCCCCCCATTCAAAATCCTGGCTACGGCCATGTTACCTCCATTCACGGATCGCCCTCCGATCTTCGGGCGATCGACTCGCGGTCAAGTTGGTACCTGCGGTAATACTGAATACCCCGTTTTGTATTCTATACTTTCAATGTATAAGGAAGTGACCGCCGGTTACTACTTTTAATTCAAGTTATGTCACCTCTACATGTAATAAATCAAAAGGTTTTCACGAAAACATGCAGTTGCTAGGTGATTGAGTTCTGCATAGTGCGTTCGGAATCTTTCGAATTTAGCGTAGAGCGTAGAGAGGCATCCGGAATTCAGCGTAATACGTAGCCGGCTCTCAAAATTTAGCGTAGAGCGTTGTCGGGACCCCCCCTTGGGGGCCCCCATAAATGTTTGGGATGGATGTAAGATTGTGACCTCTGATTTCCACGGTTCAAACACAGCTTCTTGTGTCCGCGCCAAACGAGATGTTCAATCAAGCCCAGATTAGCGAGAAACGCTGGAAAACACCGGCGACGTACAAGGCCATACATTCTTCCCTGCCACTGATACGGGGGACCGACAATGACACTTGACCCAGATACTGACAGAGTGGAAAGAGGAACGCCAAGTTGTTAGAAGATAGTATAAATACAGCATCAGCGGGGCACAATGGACGATTGTACGACACGCGGGTGAGCAGATCGGTGTGTTTGTGAATGGACGGGGACAGAGAGACAACGGTATGTTTGTTCAGCTTCAGGACTGAAGAGGGCAGGGAGGGCATCTGAAGCGGCCCAGCTGGCCCA